AACAGTAAAAAAGTAGCAGTTATTTATTTAATATTATTTATAATTATTGTTTGGTCTGAGCAAATGTCAATGACTAATATAACTACATACGTAGTATGGAATCGAAAGAGAGCTTTTGAATGAGAGCTTTTAGAAATATGACAGTGGTGAAGTGGAAGTCTATAAGAAAGAGTAATAATAAAGTGGCCAGTTGATACTCTGTTAAAGGGTGAACTGCTTAAATGGGAGTTATGAGGAAAGTTCACCCCTTAACTTCTACAGCAGTGACCTAAAAAAAGTGCCGATAAAACTGCGGCGCATGGACGTTAAGTTCAGGAGACAATTCTACACATTTTTTCATGAAAAGTGGGACCGATCTATGCTTACATAATTAGGGTCTAGATGTTGCAAACACCTGTAGTTTCAGGTATTCCATGATCGACAGAGGTGTTTCACTGAATACATTTATATCACAGGGCTTTTCTTACATTGGAACATCGCAAGGGAGGACTCGGAGCTAGTGTTGCCCAAACGCAAGAACAAGACGAGACTTAGCCAGTCTTGGTCTTGGTCTTGCGCCAATACACCTGGTCTTGGTCTTGGTCTTGCGCTCCCAGTCTTGGTCTTGGTCTTGGTCTTGCAGCAAGAGTCTTGCAAGTCTTGCAATTACCTATTAGTCTATTACTATTTATTAAAGTTTACTTTAAATCCTAGAAAAACGTATTAGAATTGGAACATTGTGAGCTTGAATGAATATAGCCATAGTAAAGATCAAGCAGATTAATAAATAACTGAAGATTTGATAAGAAATTCGAAAAATCAACTGACCTATATGTCGTTTTCCATGGAAGTAACTGTTTCTTAATAAACATTTATGATCCTTGCTTTCTACCGCGCCGCCTCGCCACGTGCCGGCTCTATGATAAGGATGCCGCCGCAAATCAAACAATAATATAAAGCGTGTAAAAAAATTCGAAATTATTTTGCATGAGTATACCTACACCCTATGGCGGCAATCAAATAGTGTCAAATGTTATGATTTCGGCGTGGCGGCAACGATTGTTTTAGATTTCAAAAGAAGCCGCCGGCGCGTGTATCATAACCATGTACTTCCGAAAAGCGGCAAATTTCTTTGAGAAGTAAGTACAAAACCTTTGATGCCGCATTATCAAAGTGCCGATGGTTAAAACATAACTATGCATGCACTCAGTTTGATTTTAATAATTTTTTTATTCGCTATGTTTATGGTATTAGTCGTAATGCGCATAGGTCCAGTTTTTCATATTCTTTGATACAGTTTTTTGCGTCTCATAGAATTCCTAAGCGTACCTACCTATACACCGAACTGTTACACCTAACTACTCAGTGAAATAGCGCTAAGTCCTAGCTGCAAGACGCAAGAGTCTTGCAGGCTATGTCTTGTTCTTGCTCAAGTCTTGCACGGTCAGTCTTGGTCTTGGTCTTGCTAAAAATACGCGGTCTTGTTCTTGGTCTTGGTCTTGCAAAAACGCAAGAACAAGACCAAGACTGAATTTGGGCAACACTACTCGGAGCCTATTTGTAGAACTTATTTAGAACCGAATTATTACTAGAAATTAGAAACTAAAAGACCTTTTACCTAAGGCTTTTACAATGTAAGCGTTAGTTAACGGAATGACGGGGGGGGGGTGTTAGACCACGCTTTATGGACCCATTACGTAAGGGAATTATAATTAGTGATGGGTAAATTAAAATAATAAAACATGATCACAATAAATTTCTCCTACAAAACGAATAATCATTAAATCTGTGAAACAGCGAGCAAAAATCGCGATTATGGTAAATATTATATAACTTTAATTTAATAGCGTTTTCTATTCAACATTTACATACGTTTAAATGACAGCGTCGGTCCCACTTTGATTTTTGCCTGTACTTGAGAACAGATTAGTCATACCGTCAATAACAATAATACTAAAACGAGAACGCGTCATGCTTCGTGTATGTTTGTGTCAGACTTCCTGTTATCTGTTCGTGGAGTAAGCCAGCGTTATCAACAGCGTTATAACTAAACGCGAACGAGTTCAGCCGCAAAACAAAGTCGAAATTCGAAGCGTTGCGACACGTGAAAAAGTGTGAATTTTTTTTAAAAGTGTTTTAGGTGCTACCATTGAATAATAAAATATCAAAAATGGGTTGTTGTGCGTTTATAGGAAAATACCTGCTTTTCTTGGTCAACTTGGCATTCGCAGTAAGTTTTTATGAAGTTTTCATGAAGTTTTCATTTTCATCGACAACTTGATATTGATCACAATATTATATTTATAATCAATGTTCTATCATCAACTTATTTCTATTGTACGTACATGCATAGAAAACAATTTAGGTTTTTGCGTTTCACAAAAATGAGTCAAGGCATTTATTTTTTATATGGGATTGTATGGAATAGTAACGCAATAATTAACATTTGCACATGTAATGATCAAAATAAAACTTAATTGATTAATAAATTTATAATTTTGATTATATCTGATGGTATCTAGACTAGGACATTTACCAAAAAGTGTTTAAATCTAAATATAGCATTAGTGTAGGTATATTGTGGACTGAATCATTTACGAAAGATTGCCACACTGAACGCGTGACTCAAGTTACCAAGAACGTTCTACTGGTTTGAATTTTATGGAAAAACCTTGACACATAATAACAATAACGTATCTGAATCACGTATAAATATAAATGCTATATTGTGCTACAGAAAAAACGTGGAATAATAATTAGTCTGCGAACGTCATCTTCATGGTTAAATAATTAAGTTTTTATAATTGATTGAATTTGTTGGATTTAATGAAATTCTAAACCGTATCTGAATTGGTACATTGTTAAGAAAAATGTACTTAGAGTAGAATTTTCCAGAGCATTTTGTTCAATTGTCATGATACACAGAATAATAAAAAATACCAGATAGCTTGTTGTTTGACAAACAACTTAAGATAAAAGAATACTTATAATTATTTTTTTAGGTACATAAAAGCTCATACCGCCGGCAAATTAGTGTAGATTACATAACATGAATTTTTTAACAAAAATGTATTTTAATACGTCTCTTTAATACATTATATTTATATTTTTATAGCTCGTAGGAATTGCCATTGTAGTTGTAGGCGCAGTTTACAAATATCAATTTGACAATGTCCTAGAAGCTCTTCCTGACGAAGCAACTGTATTGAGTCTGGTACCAACTTTGGCTATAATTGTAGGATGCATTGTTTTCTTTATAGCCTTTTTGGGTTGTTGTGGGGCTGTCAACGAAGGAAAGTGCATGCTTTCAACGGTTAGTATTTTCTGCTTAAAATTGTAGACATAAAATAATTATAAATACCATTCATCATAAGGTCGTCAGTCCTAAGACTGGTTGGACACTCATTTCCCTAAAACTACAGCATCCAACATCTTTAACTATTTGTAATTTAATCCAGGTCTACCTCTACTCCTCCTAACTCCTGTTTCTCCCTCTAATATATCTGTGACTAGACCTTCATGCCTGAGAAGATGTTCTACCAATATATCTCGCCTGTTTCTTATTGACTTCCATAGAGTCGTCTATTATCCTATTCGTTCTAATACCTCTTCATTTATAGCCTTCTGTATCCACGGTATGCTCATCATTCGCCTATGACACTACCTGACTTATCTGACTTCCTGGATACCTAATATCAGCCACTTTTTCTAATCTTTCGTCTCCTATCTTTATATTCGCTCTTTATCTACTTTTTCTTTCCTTGCATACCAGTATTTTGTTTTACTTTTATTTGTTATCATACAATTCCGTTCTGTCAATACCGCTTCCACTTTATTTAAAGCTATCTAGCTAACTCCTGCTTGCTAGATGCTAATACTGCTGTATCATTTGCAAATCTAATAGGTACTAACATTTTGCCCCTGTAAATCTATCCCTACAGTTGTACTGTCTTAATGATATTGATCGCGTCTTCGATGTATAGATTAAAAAGTAGCAGCGACAGTATGCATCCCTGTTTGACTCCCTTCGTAATATTTACTTCTCTATGTTGCAGCGCCAGCTTTATAACTGCCTATTACTCTTTATACAATTACTATTATCTAATTGATAAAAATTATTCTGTTATGTTTTAGTACTCAGTATTGATATTTGTGATACTGATAGCCCAGGTGGGCGTTGGGATATATGCCTTTATACAGTTTGGCGATAATCAAGGCGAACTTAGGACTCGTATTCACGATCAATTGGTCACAACGTTCAATAGGTACAGTACGAATACTGCCTCAAGAGAAGCCGTTGATTTCGTACAAAGTGAGGTAAGTTAGTCAATTTTGACTTCTCGTAAAAGCGAAATTTTAATACCGTGAAAAATAAGATATTACTGAATTAAAATTGGCTACTGAATAGTGGCGTCATTGTTCAAATGTGCTATAGAATTAATCATATGCATATCTCAAAATTCCTGTTATATATTTGTGAATCTATGTCGGAAAATATGTATTTTCAGTTGTATGTACATCTATTTTTCAATCAACTGATTAAATTGCTGTGAGACACCCCTTAACTATATTCAAATTATTAACAATAAATTTTTCTTACTGTTAGTCATATTGTAATATCTAACTCAGATTTTGAATATTGCCTATCCCTTTATCTTTCATGCTAAATGACGTGTTATTTGTTCTGGAAACTTTTATTGTAGCACTCTAGTTATCTACATTTTATGTTGTTTGATGTTTGATAGCAGAATAATAATGATATTGTTTGTTTGAAAAGTTGCACGTAAGAGTTTTTAATTTCTCGAACGTGAAATGTTTCAACAAAGAAGAAAATAAATAAAAAATTAATATCTATCATTTTTTACAGTTAAAATGTTGTGGGGTGGATTCCAGTAATTTCTGGACAGGTACAATCCCTAACAGTTGTTGTGCATCTAACAGTGCACCCTGTACAACCTTTACTGCATACCGTACGGGATGTTCTCAAGCTATATGGGAATGGCTTAGGGAAAACGGAAGAAGAATTGGAATTGCAGCCATTGTAATAGCTGTTTTTGAAGTAAGTACTGATGCAGTTTGCACGATTTTATGGAAGGAAAACCATTATCTTTACGGATTAATATAATACATTAATGGTTTCTTTTGTTTCATCAACCATACATCTCTCTCAATGTTGATAATCAATACTGCAAAGACCTACACATTTTAACTATAAACATAACAATTTTTTAATTTATAAACTCAAATTTAATTATTTCTGTTTCAGTTGATTTGTGGAATCGTCGCATGTTGCCAAATCAGATCGATTAACAAAAGGTAAATATATGCAGGGTGTGATGGAAAAAATGTCAAATATTTTTTTTTTTTAAATTTGGAAACACTACTACCTAAGGGGTAATTGTTTGTTTCCTTTTTTAGGTACCACGTATAGACGCTACTAGATGTTCGAAACGTTGTATTGGTAGAAATACGAAAAACGGTATCGTTTTACATATACATCACGAAGAATCTTTGCATTTTCATTAAAAAGACTTATGTATTTAAAATCCATTTAGCAATTAATGTGTCCATTATTAGGTACAAAATTATTAAAAATAAACGTGAAGGCAACTTCGCATTGTAAGAAACATACAGTTCAGTACTCACAAATATACCTGTAAATGAAGAAATTATTAATATGTATTTTTATATTTCTCAATAAAATTTTATATTGTTTGATTTTTTTTTAATTATCTACCCTAATAAAAATATAATTTAAGTGCGTAATTTTAATATAAAATTGGAAAAAACGAAGTACACTCTACAATGCACCGAGAGCTACTGATTCGGGAAAGCGAAGTTTAATTGATAAAACCTGCTGCTAAGCACCCTATTGGTTATTACGCTACGCGCCAATTTTACAACCAATAAGAAACTAGGTCAAATTGAACACCTGTTTTTCCTGGCGCTTAGCGTTGGTATGTAAAGAATGCAGTTCTGCACGAGCTCATTGACCTACAGGCGCCACCAAATTTTTAAAAATAGTAACTCAGGCAATCCTGTATCGATTTTGGTGCGGTTTTCAAAATTTGGCAGTAATTTTTTTATTCTGTTTACAGTTAATTTACAACAAAATAATGTGACAGTATTATTTCTACATATTGCTGTAAAACCTTTTAGTTGATACATTTATACAAAAGCGGTACCTAGCATTTGTTCATATATTCAAAAATTAATGGTTTATTTATAATTTCACTAAAGCTTATGTTTTTCTAAATCTACAATAATTTGAAGTGACGTAGGCACAGGTTTCCGTAGTGTAGTGGTCATCACGTGTGCTTCACACGCACAAGGTCCCCGGTTCGATCCCGGGCGGAAACATTATTTTATTGTTACTTCTAAAATTTATGCGGTTAATATTTTGCCTTACCCGTATACAGATAACATAGAAATTACACAATTCCTTGCTGGTTTTCTTTCTTTTCTCTTAGAACTTTTTATTTATTATTATTTATATATATAAACAAGCGACTACATATATGCCACATCGCATTTTTAAAGATAATTAATTATATATAATAGAATATCACTATGTTTGGCATTAGTATATAGCTATGATACCACGTCCTATCGCTATTGATTATATCATTGGTTGCAGCTTTAGTATGGGATGAAAGCAAGTAAAAATGATTTTTTTCTTATACCACTACGTCTTCTTCTAATTAAAAGTTATTAAAAATATAATAGCAGTAAAAGCAGCTGTGGATGTCTGTGCTTGGTTTGACTTGGAGCAAATCGTAATCTAATCCCGCGTTACATTCTTTTTAATGGCCATAAGACTTGCGTTATTAACGCGGTTTATTAAGGTTTTACGTTTCAGCAATAAAACCGTATCCATGCTATTTTATAGGGCCGTTGAAGTATTTTATAAATTTGTAGACGGAAATGCTATAAGATTTTTGTTTACCATCAAAACCAAGATACGTATGAATTATTCGAAGCGATAGATAAGAAATAAATCAGAAATTATTTGGTCCGCAATGAGGAAATTTAATTCTACATATTTAATAATTTTCAGCTACCTATTCCCAGTAGATTTTGTCATATACACTGGTGGCGAGTTGTGAACCGAACATAGGGAACGAGGGATCAAGGAGCGGCATACTGTTTTGGAAAATACGACAGGATACGAAAACTGATACAAATACTTTCAGACATTTTCTCGTTTAAGTAATATAGGTCCAATAAATGCAATTTAAAGTGTTGATGTGGTGTTACGCCTTAATTAAAATTATTCTGGGATTTTAGGATACTTTTCAAAGATATGATTCAAAAAATATATTCTAAGTCTGCTAAAAAATGGTTAAAAATATTCGAAGTGTGGTGTTACAGACGAATGATGAGGATACCGTGGATAGAGGAGGTTAGAAATGAGTAGGCACTAGTAAGAATAAGAGAACAGTGGTCAGTATGAAAGTGAATAAGAAATAGACGGCATAGATTGGTAGGACACCTCCTCAGACATGAGCGGCTAGTTGGAGACATATTAGATGCAGAAACAGGAGTTAAGAGGAGTAGAGGTGGACCTGGATTAAATTACTGTTCACAAATACGAGGCGTGTTTCCAAAGTTACTGGTGCCGGACAAGTCTTGACATGTTTATGCAATTGTCTAGTGCAATATTGTTCAGTGTGATTTAAATGATCGCGTTCTCATATCACAGTTTTTGTAACCATTGAAGAAGTAGCAAAATATCGAAGAGTAACAATTTTCTTTTTGTGGATAGTGTGAAAACACCAGAAATTGTTCAGCGTCTGCAAGGAATATTTGGTGAGTCTGCAGAATCCAAAAGTACTTTTCATCTGTGGATCGATCGTTTTAAAACCGGCAGAACATCACTAGAAGATGAAAATGTAAGAAATAAGAAGACCTACTGTGAAAGAGGACAGGCGAATGACTATTCGTCAAAGTACTGTGCATCTAGGGATAGGTACACTACAAGTTTATGACTTCTTTCATGATTGTTTTTGCGTTAGGTTATCATTGGGATGAATGTATTCAGTTAAATGGAAATTATGTTAAAAAACTACATTGTAATATTGACGAAAATTGATAAATATAAGAAATAAAAATTATAGCTCAATTCCCAGAACTTTGGAAACATCCCTTGTAGTTAATGATATAGGATTAGCTCAGGATAAGAGTCTTATGACTGATAACCTTATGATGACGATTCTAAAAAAGGAAAATTTCGACAAGGATATGTGTAATTTCTATGCCCACTAAACTTTTTGCTTTACCTATATACATAGATACATCTAGTCATTTGAACATAGAACAAGTTTAACACTTCTTCGTAATATTTAGTGGCACTCTAACTCTCTAAAAATTGTGAGGGACAAACGGTATCAATTATTTAAGGATATGATATCCTTATGATGCAGCAGTTGTACGTTTTTAACGAACCTCACTGTACTTTACCTGGAAAATGAAGCACAAGTAGAGCGGCAAGATTGGGCTTTGTTTTCTCTGCGTACCTATCATATCTTAGATTTTTCTGTTTGCTTTTGTTATTTATTAACCCTTTGTTTGGTCACCATTGGCTAACTAACTATAAAGAAACGTTACGAATCGCCCTCGTTTTTATTCTGCTTACTGTCGACAAAAAATAAAATAGACGGCAGTGTTTCGAAATCAACCTTTCAATCTTTTGATTTATCTCCGATTTCTTGGATATCTAATAGGTGCGTATTGATTTTATTTTCTTTATCACAAAATCCCCTTAAAAAAAAACAAGTTATTTTTATTTCCAATATACGTTTTTTTTTTTGCTTATGAAATTCTTGAACAGAGAAAAAATTTGTTTAAATTGTGAAAAACACATTCTCGTCGCGATTAAGATTAATATTGCTCTTAATCTGGGAATAAGTATCGTTTTTTTCACCGCACCGGTTTCAGTTTTCATGGAAATATATGTCTAATGTTTTTTATTGCTTCCACGAGCTTTCTGTTTCATAAAGCCTTAAACAATTACAGGAAACAGATCTCTATTTTCCGTGAACCATGAAAATATTTTTTCTTTTTAACTCACCCTAGAGAACCCTGCTTCTGTAAAGCGGTGAGAGCAATAAAACCTATCATGGAAGCATTTATTGCGAAGCATTATGGCATACGAGAGCTTAAGAAATAATCTGAACTTTAGTCTGTAATATTTTTCTCACAGTTCTCATAATACAAGACAGAATGCACTTATATTTCAATTTAGAATCTGTGAATAAAACACTTTTTAAGCTATATGTATAATGATAGAACATCACACTTTGACGACCCTCTTATAGAAGTTTGCATCAGTACCCTGCATTATTTCAGCATATAGTACACCACCTGTCGCTTGACATTATTACTAAATGTTACTAATTCTGGACTTTCTATCATCATGAAAAAGTTATTTGTTTCTGACCTATTATTAACAACACTGGCCAATTATTTATTAAAGAACTAAACTGAAAATAATAAGACATTTATATTTATAATTTGTTGATAGATATGCCATAACATTAGTTATGATTGAAAGTACGGATCATCTGTGGTATATGAAGAAGTTTTAATATAATAGTAAAGATTGACAAATAACAGTGTTATACTTCATTTACTTTCTGTAGCGATGTGCGCCTTCCAATGTCTTGGATGCGCGCGGGCAAAATCGTAAGTAGGAAGAAAAAAGCTCATTATACTCTCGACTCTTGTTCGTTAAACATACTGTTTCATACAGTACCTGCCAAAAGTTTTGATCAATCATGAATAGTAGTGCGAGTCGAAAACAAGCGTTAAAGCCTTTAATATGTCTTCAAATATAAATAAACATCTCGTTCATATTTTCAGTAGTAAATGGTACCAATAACAGCACATTTGAGCAATGCAATTGTAGCGGATAAAATGGTCAATTTTTCCGTGCAGTACTGTACGGATTGTACGCTCCTAACCGGTTAAGAGTTTGGCAGAGAGTTGTCTCTTTCCTTTTCTGGCCTAGTGCTGTTCTTTTCTACTTTGCGCCGATCAAACTGAAGGTCACATCGCTACAGAAAGTAAACGAAGTATACTTGTTAAATTAACCATAACATTGATTTATGTATTAGATTCTTCATAGGGTGAAAAGGAAAGGGTTTCGATCTGCGTGATAATATCAACAAAATTTTCTTTTCTTTCCACATTATGTGTAAGATTTTCTTCTCTCTAACAATATAATGTATCATCTACCGACCCGAATCTGCCAGTGCAGACTGCCTTGGAATAACGTACTTTCTGCCTCGAAATACAATAGATTTCAATTTAAGTGCGACTATTGTTATTAAAGTCCGCGAAGATGGCTTTCCCATCGCCAGTGAACAATCTCAATGGGACATGTTAGTCCCTTGTGAAAACATATGCCTTCAGATAATGTCTCTCAATTGAGCTAACGAAGATCCAAACGTCTATTAAAACAAGAGTTCCAGTTCGGCCCTTGTCCGAACTTTCAACAATACCAACTGCAATAGTCAGTGCGAGATACGATAATAAACGTTAGGTACATGCCAACTACCATCATCTTTTGTGTAATGAATTACGATAATCAGACAGAAGACAGAATAATTGGTAATGCCCGAACATAGGGTGAGATACAAGACAATTCTGTTATTATTTGAAAACTGAGTAACTTG